TAAACATCTATTAAACCTTCACATTCCTTAGAACTCTTCTTTCATTACTCTAGTTAATTCTTTAATCCAAGCATGTACACGTGTAGATGCGTTTACATGCATACAAATGTAAGTTTTGCAGAAATACTGACCTAATTTCCTACTTTGATATTACGCCACTGAATGCAGTACAGGATTAGTGAGCACAATGGAGCTGTGTGCATAGACCCACAATATACAATACTTCTGCATTCAGATATGTAAAATATGATATGCAGTATGGATCTGACTGCAGAGTTTTATATACCCAGGCAACATGCTGTCTCTAATGGCACAATTTATTATAAAAACATGCCTGTATAAAATGCAGATATCAGTCAGGTGGCCCTAATACAGCATGACCTCTAAACAGCAACAGAACAACTCCAGGCAAAATTGTTATTAACCCTAGCAGTGGGGCTACTCCCGTACTGCAAGGGTAACTGCTCGTTTTCATCTAGGGACTAAAATAAAAATGTATATTCGCCCGAAGCACCTGTTTCCTCCGCAGCAGAAGCGATTGTATGTACCCCATCATCCTTATGTCCTATACACAGTGTATGGGATGTAATGGTTCAAGGATCTATAGACCGCTGCAGCAGAGGGTGAGTGAGGCTGGAAGGACCGGTATAAGAGCAAGCAGGCTCAGAGGATTGGATGAGTATAGCTTTTTTTATTTCACCCCCTCACCAATTTTTTTACTGACTGAATCATTGTAACCAGAGAAGAGTGAATAATAGAAAAATCGCTTCCCCACTGATTTTTCTGTCATTTGTTGTTCTCATTGTCGTCTTGACTATTTGTTATAGCACAGCTTTCTCCTTGTAAAAGTAAACAGCGATATTTTATTTTATTTGCTTATTTTTTTCTAAATTGGATTTATTTAATAAATTTCACTGAACTCCAGATTCTGACTGGTTGCTTTGTACAAGGGGACCTTGCCTCTTGTCTCATTGAATATGGCTGTTTAACATTTGTCATCAATGATGACACAGATTTGTTAAGTAACACTGATAATAGCTTTGGGCCATTCATCCTTTACCTATTAGGCAATTCATCATTATTCTTCTTTACAAAAAGTGATACAAGTCTCCTTGCCTGAGGCCTTGGTGTTACATTACTTGACTAGTGACTGGAAAAAGAAAATACATTGTAAATTTTTTGGAATAGTTTCCACTTTTGGGTGATCATTTAGACATGACGTCAAATGCTCTCAGGCATTATGATGACGCATACATTGCTATAGCACAAAGGTCATAACAAATACATTTCTTAGCCTTCCTAGTAGAGCCCCTTGTATCTAAATAAAAGAAGCTCGCAGGCAACTAGAGGTTCCTGCACATACTTGCAACAGCTGACCAAACCTCCTGTCATGATGTCCAAATTCCATCCATTTCTGACAGGTAAAGCTCCAACAGTTCTGGGTAGTGAAGGAGCTTGCCGTTAGGACTTGCTCCCCATGCATTCCTATTGACCCAGCACTAGGATGGTAAAGCTGGCCCTGCACTTATTATATTTTGGCTAGTTCTTCATAAACAGTGTGAATTTTACTCAGTTGGTGGCCCTGTTGGCAGCCTCCCACCTGACATTCGATTAGAAGAACCAGGTGGAAAATATTTGGCTGTGATGCAGCCAATCGGATACAGTCACTCTGGGTATTCTGACAGCGGCACACTCACTGCTGTCAGAATATAATAGCTGTAGTGGGAGACTTGCCTGTCCACATTGTTTAACATGGATGGAGAAATCTGATTCAGCCTGAACAAAAAAAATGCCCGTTAAAGGAAGTTGAAAAATAACAGACCTACTGGTCAGATCACCAGGTGAAAATAAAGGAAAAAAAGCAGAAAAAGAGAAAACTAGTGCAACCACCACATCTAAGGATTTGTAGGCTGCAATATATTATCATTAATTATCATTATTATATATTTTTTTTATTGTATTATTATTATTTGTTTTGCTTTTGGGTTTACATATGCTTTAAGCCATATTGGCCAGCGAGAATATGCATGAAGGTGCAAAAAAGTGCCTGTTAGAACAGCCCGCTATTCAGCACTGACAGAAGGGTTTAGGAAACTGCTGCAGTGATGTGTGGAAACGAGGGATGCAACAATACCATTTTTTTCAAGACCGAGTACGAGTACCAATACTAAGTACTCGCTGATAATAATGACTGACTTTTTTTTAGTGTCATGTGACAGTTTTTCTAAAACAATACAGACTAATGATGTTAGGACAGTAGTGGAGCAACAGGGCCCATTCACAGCTGCGACTTCTGCAAACCACCTGGTAGTTCTGCCGCTGACTACAAGCTATAGAGGGACTGGGACAAATCACAGCAATACATTATACAGCAATGCAGAATACAACCAGCTATAGAGGACTACAAAGCCCAGCAATACATTATACAGCAATGCAGAATAATATGAAGCTACATACTCTGTGTTAGGGATGCACCGATACTGGTTTTTCTGTTTTTGGGGATTTAGTAAGAATACCAATATTTGTTTCATACTTCACTGTTAACAGGTGACGAGGGAGCATGGAGCCGGCTTCCTGGCCAAATCGGAGACCAGGCAGCGTGTAATGACTCGCCGCCTAGCTTCCTGATTGGTCGGGAAGCTGGTCAATCAGGAAGCCAGGTGGCAGGTCATTACCCACCCCCGGCTTCCTGATTGGCCAGAACGTCGGCTCCATGCTTCCTCATCACCTGGCTGTGTGGGGCCTCATGAGGACTGTGCGGGGTCTCAGGAGGCCTGTGCGGGGTCTCAGGTGGGCTGTGCGGGGTCTCAGGAGGGCTGTGTGGGGTCTCAGGAGGGCTGTGCGGGATCTCATTTGTTTTCTTTTTACTGCCTAAATACATTTTCTGCATGCATAAAAATATATGTTGATCCTGCCAGATATACAGTGTCCTATAACTTCCTGTGCGCTAAACTAAAATCTCAAACAATGTGAACAGTATTCCAAGTTTATTCTGTGAACTACATAACACCCCCTATGTTATGGAGATAAGGAGAGGGGGGTGATTATAGTCAAAAATGCAGCCTAGTGTGACACAGCTGCTCCTCTATACATAAAGTACAACAAGCCACCTAAGCACAGACAGTGTCTTACCGGCAGGATCACCAGGTGTAAATAAAGGTGAACAGCCTGAAAAAAGAAAAATAATGCAGTTACCACATCTAAGGACTAGTAAAATTAAATATATAAATCCCTGGTGCCGAACTTACGGAGGCATTGCATGTGGCCCTTATTATGAAACCCCACAGGCCTCTGCAGACTGTATTCTGTGTTTTCCTAACCTAGGTACATAGGTACTGTCTGTTCCTTTTCTCTGTCTGTTTATATAATGCACCTTGTTCAGAGAAATATCAGTCATTTTTAAGGGGGCTGTAGTGACCATGTGGAATCATTGGTCTGTAAAGGGGCTCTAATAGTGAACTCTAGCAATCTCATGTAAAGTGTCTTCAGTCTCTGACAGACTCTAACAACTCCAACAGCATGTTTAGTCATGCATGGTCTCTGACCATCTCCTGTAGCATATCTGCAATCTGCCCATCTCATGGAGCATGCCTGTTCTCTGACCCTCTCCTGGTATATGTATGCAGTCTGTAGCATTATATCCAGTATATATTATAATGTCAGGGGCTGCATTTCAGGCCCTTTTTTATCAAGTAAGTTGACCCCACTAATATACATTTTTTGGGTTTAAGTGGGTTTGTGTACCATAAGAGGATCATAGACAAGATTTGTAATGCAATTTGGCAACAATATGACAACATTAACAAGGTTCAGAGAATTAGGAGAATACAGATTGTGCAGAGATATCACAACAATTTCACTGTCTACAACTCTGCGATTGTTCACATAAAGAATAATATTCATTAATGTCTGTCTGGCCATAATAATTTTCTGTCATGTTTAGAAATTAGTGTCTTCAATATTTGGTCATATATAATCATGTTTTATAAATAAAATGCTTTTGTTGTATCTGTTTATTTAGACCAAAGAGGTAAGCTTAGACCCACTGCCTGAATGTGTGTGTCCAAGAATCAAGCTTCTTCAGTCTCAAGAATTAAACACTAACAGGCCTTTTCACTAAAGGGTGTACAGTTTGGAGAAGGCAGGAGAAGTGAACAATCCATTCTAGGACAGCTGAATTGGAGAATGTTTCCAAATCAGCTATGTTGTCCTAGATTGTTCACTTCTCCTGCCTTCTCCAAACTCTTCACCCTTTTGTGACCAGCCCTGTAAGGCCTGGTTCACACTTAGCATTTTGTAGAGCTTTTTCTGCCCTAAAAAACGCTCGAAAAATATGCCCCCAAAAAAGATCCAATTCATTTCTATGGCCCTGTTCACATCTGAGCGTTTTGTCGCAATAAGCAAAACGTCTCTCGCTGGAAAAAGTACATGAGGTTTTTTTTTTACAAATTACAGCTTGTTTTGGCCCCATAGGCTCAATAGGAAACACTTGAAAATGTGCGTTTGCTGTGTTTTGAATGTTTTTACGCACGTTTTATGCGCGTTTGCTCATTAACATCAATGAGCTACAATCTGCTCAATTTGATTCATGGGTGCATCAAAAACATGCATAGAAACACACAAAAACACTGTCGCCTAGGTGTGAACCCAGCTTAACAGGTTTATGCACACAAGGGTGAAGAGTTTGGAGAATGCAGGAGAAGTGAACAATCTAGGGCAATATAGCTGAACTGGAAAGTGAGTTGAATTGGAGAATTTTTCCAGATCACATATTTTATCCTAGATTGTTCACTTCTCCTGCGTTCTCCAAACTCTTCACCCTTTTGTGAATAGCCCTGTAAGGGATCTGTTCAAGTTGGCCCCCACTGAACTGTGGATGCAAGTTCTTTGGTATTTGTTTGGGGTTTCATTCATTCATTAAAATTCAATTTTTTTTAATAGTCTTGAGGATGATGTAAGAATTATCTCAAAAAAAACTTAGCTTTGCATTTCACTTACAGGTTGATGGTTTTCTTACTCTACTATTTGGTTTGGCCAGTATAAACACGCTAACTCTTATCAGTGTAACTCGCTATATTAAAGGCTGCCATCCTCAAAGAGGTAAGACGAAGAAGACTTGGTATAAATCATTTCATTAACAGTTTATAAGATTTTACCAAATGCTTCCAACTCCTATTGCAAGTAGTACAAAAGGACAAACATCAAACATACAATGACCAGTAGAACTCCCACACTTCATTTTAGTAGAATATATGTGAGTAGCTAGCACTGTCACTCCCTACTCAACATTTCTGCTTAACATCCATACTTTTAATGATGATAGCAACACACCTCATCTCTGTATTACAAAAGCATTCTAACTGGGACAGACCAGGAGCAAACAAACCATACAATATGGTAATAATCATTTAAGTTCTACATGCACTGGATTAAACAAACTAAATGTTAAACATCATGACTTCCACCTTTATACCCTCTGCACATTCACCCAATTTTCCTTAAAACGGAACTTTACCCAACAATGTAAAGAAAAACGTCACCCTTATCTTTAAAATGACAAGAAAGGCAGCTTTAGAAATGTTTAGTAATGACAACCTACAAACAGATAGTTATAGATAATTGCCAGATTTGTATTCATTCCATACCTTATTTTTCGTTTCACCCCCATTCTTCTCACAGTGGCCATTTTCACTAAGGGCAAATTAATCCATCTTCCTTTACTTCCTGAAACTCTGGCACATGTGACTAGGACATATGACCATGCACATCATCTCAGGGGAAAAAAATGCCTTTCCCTGAGATCTCGTGAGATTACAGATGAGATTTACCTGCAATGCTCTGTGATGTAACCTTCCCAAGATGCATCACTTAGGCATGGGCTACATCACTAATGCTTGAGATGCCCAGGAAGTGCAAAAAACAATAACTGTAAGTAAAAGCAAAATTGATTGTTTAATTAATGAGCGTAAGATGATTTCATATCAGCCTTCAGAGCTGCATGCTGATGGGGTTTTTAGTGACAGGGGGTAAAGGTCCACTTTAATGTCTCCCAAAACTTTTGTAAGGCTGTTAGGGATAGGAGGCTATTGCTCTGCTTTATGTTTTATATTGCATGCGCAATTATACAGCATGATTGTGCATTTCATGAATACTGGTATAGATTGCCTCTTGGCACATAAAAATGTTATACGCATATTCTGCTTAAAAAATAAATATTTTCTGTGAACCCTTACATGCTTATTCTTACAACATGCATACTCTGTATAATAAGTGTTTCTACAATGTTACAGCTAACTGCATCAGCAAAGGCAGTATCACCGTGTCCCTGGTACTTATATGGATTGCAGCTTTGTTTTGGTCAGCAGCTCCTCTTCTAGGTTGGGGAAGCTATAGAGGTATGGCATGTGATAAACTGGTCATTTGCACTTTTTTTTTCTTTTGTCTGCCTTTTACTGCCAATAAAACTGCACATTTATGGTGAGTTAATGTATGTAATAGCAAATTACTTTTAGGCATACATTAGAAACAGATCAGCAATCTAAAAACCTTGTTTATTTGTATAGTTTTAATAGTACATGTACATCAGGACAGAGATATTTTGCTGTTAAATATGTAGGCTTATTTGTGCCTTTCTGATATTACAGTATCTCACCGCTAATCTACCATAGAGGGTTTACTTAAAAACACAGTCTGCAGTTTGTAGAGATTGGTAACTAGAGAACATATGATCTAGGTTGCCTAGGCTAGGAGGAGCAGCCATTTTTATTCATGGGAAACAAAAGGTACTTATTTACTCATAATAACTATGTAGTTTTGCACTGTTAACAAAGATGCGCGGATGCTCTGTACAGTACAAGTGACCCTAAACTCAGGAGTTACAGGAGAACTATGCGGTGAGTGATTTTCACTCAACCTCATAGTTCGAGCTGACGTGTGACAATAAAACTGTCACACGTTGGCTCTATAGATCGGGAAGTGAGTGAGCGCATACCGTCGCTCACTTTCCGATCATCTCCCTGCAGAGAGCGGTGACTGTCAGTCACTGCTCCCCGCAGGGATTGCCCCATAGTTCTCTTTTAAATCTTCAAAATGCATTCAAGCCCCCTAACTATTAACAAGAATGTCTCTTATTTGTGTATCACTCAGCTGTAGATCCTCCAATCATCTCTGAATTCATACTGACACTGTCCTTCCTTCTGGAATGTGGCTACTTTTGTTCCCCATGATCCCTGTGTGTGTTGTAAAGTAGCCACGGCTCCAAGTTTGCTCCCGTGATAGACTACAATCTCAAAACAAATGAGTCAACTAAATGTGAGATTGAAGTCCATCACAGGAGGGAGCTTGGAGCGATGGTTACTTTGCAACACACACGGGGACCATGGAGAACAAAAGTAGCCACCCTCCAGAAGGAAGGACAGTGTCAGCATGAATTCAGAGATGATTTGAGGATCTGCAGCTGAGTGATACACAAATAAGATACATTTTTTGTTAAACGTTAGGATACTTGAATGCATTTTGAAGATTTAACTCCTGAGTTTAGTGTCACTTTAAATATCAACATTTTTGTTAAGTATATATTTAGAAATGTAACTGATGTACTGTATATATTTGTATTATTTTAGAATGTCCCCATTTTGCATTATTTGAATTGCTATTGGTAATTTTTCTGCTTTTCTCAGATCGTTTGTATGGAACATGTGAAATTGACTGGACCAAAGCCAGTTTCTCCACTATATACAAGTCATTTATTATATCCATATTTATTTGCTGTTTCTTCCTGCCTATAATGGTCATGGTTTTTTGCTATGTTTCTATAATCAACACTGTTAAATCAAGTCGTGCTTTAACTACTGAAGGAAGTTCATCAGACAGACAAAGGAAGATGGAACGAGATGTAACCAGGGTATATATATATGTATACATATAATGTACTATTGTGTAAATTAACTAATTCTCTATAGCATTTATGGACATTAGGCTGCGTATTGATACAGCAGTGAATCTGACATTCATCCTGACATTACAAGCGAATCTGACATTACAAGCAAATCTCACACGTGAAAGACTGGGATTGATTTTCCACCAGTGAATGTTTGGTGAAAGGCATTCATTACTTATAAATATACCCCTAATCCCCAAAATGTCCCCCCAAAATTTTGAGGAATGGATCTGGCTAAGTGACCTCCAATTAGAAAGTTGTGTGGTACACTTTTTTTTTCTTTTGTGCTATAAATTATAGTTAGAGCAGAATACTGAAATTATTAACACAGCAGGATGGCCGCAGTAAAAAAATAAATACTGGAGTTCGACTTAATTTATTATACCTGATCTTCTGTATACTGAGCTATGATAATCATATACTGAAAGGACAAATGGTAATTCATATTAGATAGCTGCCTTGTAAAAAAAAAAAGCAAAAAACGTTTTTTTTTTTAGTAATCAGTAGCATAGTCTTGTCGGCTCATGACTAATACACAGAAAACAGATATGAATTATTGGTAAGGAGGTTGTGCTTCTTTTTAACTGCTTTAAGGTGTAGTTATATTAACATAAACTCAATTGGCTCAATTGGACTTTATAGGTGTCTATATAATATGGGAGACAATATAAAAGTATAGATATAATGCAATTGTTTATTTAACATCTTTTAAAATTCTTAAATACATCTTTTGTAGTAACGGTTTAAAAATATACTAATACATTTCTACCTAACCATGGCAATATATTTGTTACAATGTGTTAATTGCACAATAAACCTGCATATTTTCCCTTCTTATTCATGGGTGTGGTGTGTATTGATGGTCAAGACCATACAGTTGTCAAAATGTATAAACATAGGTACATATGTACAAGGGAAGTTCAGCGCAGACTCAGTGACGCGTTTTACAGATGCTGTCTGCTTTTTCAGGCTCAGTTGTGACTTATCTGAATTATATGTCGGCTTGAAAACAGTGCATGCATCATATTCCCTTAATCACCCCACGTGCTGGGCCCAAAAGATTGTCTCACTTGGGGACTGCAGAAGACTTCGGAATAGCACCCCAGGGGAGTCTGCCAAGGTCTCTCCGCTAATGCATGCATCCAAGTGAGAAGGTAGGAAGTGGGAGAACCAGCCACAGGCAAGTATTAATGAGTGGTTATACCCATGGATATGAGGTGTGCTTTTCCAAGGTCTTCTGCAAGTCTCCTCCCATGGTTACAGGGGGTAGCCTTTGATCATCAATACACACCCATGAATATGAAGGGAAAAATGTGCTATTAAAACATTGTAACAAATATATATTGTTAAGGTTTGGTAGCAATGTATTAGTATTTTTTTTTAAGCTGTCCCTACAAAAGATGTGTTTAAGAATTTGAAAATATGTTAAATAAACAATTGTATTTTTCCATTTTTCAAATAAAAAGTCAAATTGAGTTCTTACAAAGCGTTAATGTTGATATAGATACATAGCATATGGTGTCCTGATTAATCATGTCTATGTTGCCTTATTTCATATTATACTGCTTAAAGTGTAACTATAGGCAGATATATAAGACCCCCATTAAATCCAGTTTTGCATTTATTTATTTTTGAAACCCTTACATTTATTGACAAATAGTACGTCATTAGAATTCAGACTGGGAGAGGAAGAGGCAGGACTGTCAGTGAATCAGATTTTACTATATACTATATAGTGCTGGCTGAGGATTTAAGAAATTGATTATGATGATTGGTAGAGAGAGCATAAAGATGGGCGAATCATGGAGCCACTGTTCTTTCATTATCTAATCACGGTCTTGGCCAAGCTGTATTGCTTTGACTGTTCCAGAGACTAGTAAATGGTGAGGACCTGGAAAGTGTCTTTATTTAAACCCCATTATTTAAAGCAGCAGGGGTGTATTTAAAGCCATGTTTTTAGCAAGTGAGAAAGTTTAGAAATATATAATTGAACTCTGTATTTAGCTATTTGCTACCTTTTGGTCATAATTATGGCTGGTGGTATCTACCCCAAAGATTAACTAACTTCTCTGGAAGTCTCTGGAATGACAGCCCCGTCACTCCCTGCACTTAGTTAAAGCTCGGCAGCAAGCCATCCTGTCCCTCACCAGTATGATCATCTCTAACCACAGAAATGCTTCTGGCACCATGAAAGTCTCAGATTAGTGTTACCAGTATTTCTCTGATCAAAGATGTTTTGTTGAAAGGAAGGAGTCGGCAAAGGATGACTTTGGGGCTAATTTCAGCTCAGTAGCAGTTTGTTTCTGTGTGTTTTTGAATGCAGCAACTCACATCCTAGTGATAAACCCCAACAGATAGGCTTGGTAATGTGGCTATACTTGCACCCTCTTTCAGTAGACATTAGAGAAGAAATATAGTGACTCAGTTTTTGCAGTTATTTCTATTTAAAAATATGTTTTTTTATGTTCTTTTTATAGGTTTCCATTGTCATTTGCACAGCTTTTATAATTGCCTGGTCTCCTTATGCTGTGATATCTATGTGGTCGGCATGCGGATATTATATCCCAAATCTAACTAGTATACTAGCAGCTCTGTTTGCAAAATCTGCCAGTTTCTACAACCCTCTGATTTACTTTGGGATGAGCTCTAAGTTCCGAAAGGATCTCAGCATCTTGCTTCCATGCACAAAGGCAAGTGGTAAGGACCCTGTCAAACTCAAACGTTTCAAACGTTTAAAACATAAACAAGACCCAGGTGCTCATTTCAAAGAACAAAAACACATTCAGCATGCAGAAGAAGCAGCACAGGTAGCACCAAGTCAAGACTCTGGGGTGGGAAGTCCCAGCAATACCCCTCCACTTGAAATGAAAGATGTCTATACCTGCCGCTTAAATATAGAACCTGAAAACCCAAGCTATCAGTGTGATCGGTTGTAAGCTGTGTGACCATGGTATCTTACAATTCAGTAAAAAAATTTTTTTATCAGAGCCAAGACAAAATATGAGACTTTTTAAGTATGCTCTCTTTACATGCACCACTTGATCTGTAATCTTATATATTATATGAAGCAGTAAAGATACAAACCTGCCTTATAGGTAACAACATGTTGCCTTCATGATCTGGGAAGGAAATGGTTTTGTGAATACCTTCCAAGTAAAAAGCTAAAAAACCTTGCTTTTCTCATCACCTTCATAGTATAAAAGGCAATCTGCTGACATCAAAAGAAGTAATAATAATGATAGAAATCTTAACAAATGAGTCTTAGTCATCTAATAACCAGTAAAAGGAATTGTGCCAGGGGGAAGACCACCTGGACAACAGCCAAGCCAAATCGAAATAATTGCCTAAAGCAAAGCTACAACCTTGTTTAGCACCAGAACTTTCGGATTATCTTGAAGGCAAGGACAAATATTTAGTTTTCAGTGCTTTTAATATGTTTTCATATTTATGTCAAGGTTATTGTGCTTATTTCTGTGCAAATTGCAATGTACAAGGTTCTAATTTATGTTCAATCTTATTCCATATAAAGAACACGACTTTGGAAATGGCTTAACACCATGCTTACACTCTTCCAGTAAGTGATGAGGCATAACATTGATATATGGGATATTTTTCCATGTAAATATTACAATGTATGCAGGATTTGCTTGACTAACATTTGTACAAAATGTACTACTGATGTTGAATTATGTTTCATATCACATATGCTCACATTAAAAAATATATATATTGAAAATGTTGTTCATTGCAGCCATTATAGTGTTCGCTGTTATCCTTTACCTAAAGGAAGAGCATTTGTTCACTTAGAAAAAGTAATGTGCCCTTTGCTTAGTAAATAAGGTTAAGCTGTGTTCACTAAGAATACCCAATAATAAACAAGGGGAATAAAAAAAGATTTTTTTTTTTGCACGAGACTAGAAGATCAAAATGAACACAGCTTAACCTTATTCAATAAGCTAAGTGAAGATTGACTTTGCTAAGTGAACAGACACTATTCCTTTAGTAAATCAAGCCCATTGTCACCTAAATAATGACAGCTGAAATTAGATTAGTTGCTATGAGCAGCATTCCTAGATAAATCTATAATAAACAAATTATCATTATTTAAGTTGAACATCTCAAGTCATTGCAATTCCAAATAACTACATGATGACAGATAACATCTGAGGTTGTGTAATCAGTTGCTAAGTAGCCACAGAGCCATGTAACCTTAACCAAATGTTGTTAACGCAAATAAGCTGGAATGAGGATGATAGGTTTTATTTTAAGGGTCAGTAGACCCAAACCTATATGGCAGTCTTGAACAAATGCTGGGGAATTAAACTACACAAGCAATTTCTGGTATCTCTCTGGGAATTTGTTGGGTGTGCACATCAGAGGTTCCAATGCTCCCTGTTGGATGCTGAAACAAAAAAAAGTGGGTTGGAGCACCCAAAATTCATAGGCGGACAGAAATAGAAATAGTAACTATGGCAGGGAGAATTTCCTATAGTAAAGGAAGAATCTGACAGCACTCCATTCCACGCTGAATCAGTTTATTGAAAATTCAGTCCTGCCCGAGGTTCACCTCCACTGACATGTTTCACCCAATCATTGGCTTAGTCATAGAGATCAGAGAACAGGTAGGACTCAATGTCGCTGAGGAATCTTCAATAATCTGATTCAGCATGGAAAGGAGTTTGGCCGGATTTTTCCTCTTCTATATGTCTGTTTGGATGGAGCGAGGACACACTCCTGCCAGCGAGTGCCAGGCTGTCTGTCTCCTTCTAAAGCTGTGGACGAGCAACGCTTTATTCCTATGTCAGGGAGATTTTCCTATTGGAGAATCCAAGACATATAATAATCCAGGGGCTCACATGGCTCTACTTATACCTAAAATATCACTTTAGGGGATGGACCCTAAAAGATTATATTGTAAATTTGTGGGGGGGAAAATCCCATGGCAGGTCAACACTATACATTGCTAGAATTATAGTAAACATTATTGTAGGTCCCTATGGTTCTGTTGATATTGAGATAGCCCATGTCTTTGCATTTGCACCATCTGTTAAAGTGGGAGGATATACCTACTATAAGGACCTTTCCAAGTATCTCACCTTAGATAAAACTCAGAGGGGTCAGATGTTATCTTTCAACTCAGATCTGCTTTTTTCATGGCTTATTTCTTAGGCTTGACAAAGCAACAGGTACTCTTAAACGGTAACTTGGGTGTGCTGCAGCTTGGCAGCTCTTGTAGTCAGTCTCTAACAGCAATGTCAAACTCCAAAGGAACACATTTAATAGGCGCTGGGGTTTCTGTGATTACTCAAATTGTTAAGCTGTGGAAAATAGGGATGTTCAGATACCAGTGCTGATACTTGGCATTATCACGAGAACTACCAGGGTTGCAGCGGTTGCAGCTGGGACCTAGTTATGCCTTAAAAATGACATCCAAGGGAGAAGGGACACATCTTATAAAGCTCTGCACATCATTGTCAACCAACAGTTTGAACATACTTAAAGGAGGAGAGGGCAGAATGACAATCTCATCAGTGTGCTGCTTCTCTCTAATTATTAAATCTCAGGCTGGCGGTAGGAAAGTGTACTTGCTGCAATGCCTAAAATGACACTTCTGGGAGTGTTGGATGCTTGGTCCCCCTCTGTGCCCAGTGGTTTCCTTCTCCAACCCCTACATCACTACAGGATACAATAGGGACCAGAGGAAGGAACCACGGCACTCAACAGGGGACCAAGCATCCAACACAATTAGAAGCGTCCTGAAAGCAGAATATGTTTCTGCTAGTGGAGCTCCTATAGAGAGCAGGTATCAGCAGTGCATTAACCCTTATGTAAAATAGCTCTATTTGCAAGAACAGAAATTAGTTTTCTTTTTTAGGCCTCTTTTTTTTCTTTTGATCTGGTGATCCTGCCAGTAACCCACTTCCTGTCCTAGGATGACAATGATCACTCACTGTTAAGTATCTATGGAGAAGCAGCATTGTCACCCTAGGCTGCTCTTCCGATTAGGATTTCAAACACTTTCCCCTCTTCTCATCTCTATTACATGGGGGAGGGGTGAGGTGCAGCCCACAGAAGACAGCTGGTAAAAACTGATAATATTGTTTTAGAAATCAGTTTAGTGCACGGGAAGTTAGAAGGACACTGGATTTCTATCAGGATCAACAGGTATTCCTATTTATGCATAAAATGTATTTAGACTGCAAAAAGAAAAACTAATGCAGCCCCCACATCTAAGGACTGGTAAGCTGTGATATCTTACATTTTGTTCTGGGGTTTAGATATACTTTAATAACATTAAATTCACAAAATGTCTTACATAGTGGTTATGGGAGTTATAATTTTTTTTTATTATCTAAACAGAAGTTTTAATTTAAGAACTCTTTTAAGAGTTAAAGAACCCTTGCACTTTCTTTTATTTAAATTCATTTTCATTTAATATTAATTTCTTTAATAATGGATAAAATCTGATCTCCTCTGATCTGACTTATTTAGTATTCAGGTTATGGTTTAGGGGCAGCCAAATGATGCATGTCAGTGAACTCCAAGAATTTTCTGAAGGTAAATCTTTCTTCTTTTAAAGTTTTTTTCAGACATACTTTTGCCTTTTGACTGAAAGAAAACTTGAAAGGTTGATCTATCAGTCGTTATGCCTAACTCATGAAAACCATAGAGATCATCCCCATGTGAATTCATCATTACCTAAAAATGTATGTCTGGAATCTTCTCCACAGATCAGAACAATAGCCCTGAAATAAATATGTTTATCAAAGCCCAATTGCAGGCAAAAAGTCTCCCTTTTTGCTACTCCAGACCATTTTATTATGGTACCCGAACTATTTCACAGTTGGTAGATTGAATCTTCTTATAGACTTGGAAGAGCTGTCATTCATACATGAATGATTCGCATAACCTCTGGGCAATGCGCCTGTGTGACTCTGCAGGAAGCTGGTAGGGTTGGGGACTTCCCACAAATGTAAAATTGTCACCTGACTCAGCTGAGAATGGTCAGATTGGGTGACTGTCTTCCAATATTTATGACTGAGTTAACATAGGTGATTATACATTTCTAAAATTAGGTAATTGCCATCATTGTGTCTATGAGTATTGCTAGGGTCTCTTTTGCAATTCTGGCTCTAGCAGAATCATTCCAAGCTTGTAAATATGATTAGAAGCATTGTTCCCAGGGCATGGGATGCTTTGGTTCTCTAATCAACAATTTGCTTTTAGAATAGGAAACAGAGTGTAAAATGCTTGGAAGTGTTTGAGAACTTTGCTGATATCCAGCCAACACCTTCCCAGTGGAAACAGCTTGCTATTAGTGATCATTACTCATTCAACAATGCCTCAATAGAGTCTGTTCATTAGGGATAACAGAACTGCTTTTATTTGTGAATTGCTGGAGCCAAATATATGGCATTTAACACAAGTGCCAAACAACAAAGTACTGCTAGTGCAAATACAAACACTGATACAGAAGGTCCAAGGCGAAATGTTAATCATGCTCATATGTGGTTGGAGGAAACCTGAGAATGACACTAGTTAAAAAAAGTTTAATGTCATGATTAATATAAATTCCATTAAACAATCAAATATTCTTTAGTTTGAGCCACAGCCAATGCAAGAAAGAACATACATACCACTCTTGTATATGTTTTTAAGCCAGCTATCTTTTTTGGTTGCTGCACAGCTTGTTTATCCAATTTCACTGGCAAATAAGACAAATAGGATCATAAGATTCATTGTGGACTGCTAAAATTAGTAGACCATCAATTTCTTTAAAAAAGTGATGGTTATTTTTAGCCAAGTCCAATGAGATTTGAAATTTATAGTCAAATAGGTTACAATAAAGATCCCTATCCTTTTGTAAAACTTTGTGAATTGAACCTTATGCTCTATTGGCAATAAGGTCAATTATCTTCAAAACCTTCTCCATTAA